GCTAGGTGGCAATGTGGAGCACTGCCGCACAACACCAAGTCCGCGCGCCTGCATTCAACCTTCACTGTCAAGCAGACATTTGTGTTTTTACCGGTTTTTTACCCTTTACACGGGAACGCGGCGGTGGAGCATTTTTAAGATTTCCACTCAGGAGGATGGTTTAACTTTATTTGCGTTTTTAAGCCCCAAAAACGCAGTCGCCGTGTAATGAAAGGCACATCCGATAAAATATTTTTACATTTTCCCCCACAAGCGTTCTTGAGTAAACAGGGCCTAAAACAGGACTGAACATATACAGTACAGGTGTTAATGATGGTGACTGAAGAGTGCACAGCTGAATGATTAGTGTCTGTGAAAACAAAAGTGTGACGTAGGCAGGTGATGACAAAACATAACAAATCCAAACTTAAGTGAATGTTACACCGACACACACTGATCTGACAAAACCTAATGAACTGTCTGTTGGAGCGGTGTGAATTGGCCTTTTTTGGAACTACTTTCAATGGGCGGAGCAATAGGGTAGAAGTAACTGTCAATATTATCTAAAATGTAAGTAAATGTAAATTTCTTGATTACTGGACACAAAGGCTTTGATGCTTGAGTGCTGTCATGAAAATCACTGTGCATTTTCAATACATGGGCCAGCTATCATGTAAACAAAGCCTTGCGCTCTTTCTCTAACACGGTATACTGTAGATCACTTGCTCGTTCAAGTTTCATTTTATTTTCTTCTCCCCATTATCCCTTTCCCCATTTCTCTCAGCCCTCCCCTGGTTGCTATTACCGTTCATATTAAACACGTTTTCCCTCCAAGCACATTGACAAGACCTCATTGCAAATGAGCTTCATAAAACTCAGCGCATAATTCATATCACTTTTGAATGGTGAACAATGGCTTTTTATGGTGATGTCTGAGGTAATGCTCATTGAAGGGTTATTGCCTAATGATGTGCGGCCCGGTGGCACGACAACCCTCCTAGACCACCCACATTTTGTGGTTTGTTTGAATAATAAAGAATTATATTAATTTGGCTAGTTAATTAAGAAATGTCAAAAGACAAATATCAAAGCCCACATGAATCCCCATGCGGCCTTTTTGAATAGCAGGGTATGCTATCTTTAGAGGTCAACCTTACTTTCTGTCCTCATTTTCCAAGTCTGTACTTGGAGAAGGCACACATTTGCTATGCTTTGTTTCTCTTTGTATCTCTCTTGCTCTGATTACAACTACAGTGTTTGATTTGCAATTTAAGGCCAATCATGATACAATCAGCTCTGATGAAAGCCATTGAGTCTCGGATCATTGTTGTTACATGCAGTTTAGTAATGCTTTATCGCTCACGATTACCTTCCTGGGGTCTAAACTCCACAGCATTCACGCACGCTTATTGAGTTCATTTATGCCATGATGTTCAAAATCGAATGATGTCGCTGATCCTTCATAGGATAGTTCTGCCTTTCAAATCCAAAATGATCCTTGATGACCTTGTCTTCCATGTTTGTCTTTGTAGTAATATAATTCAGAGCAAAGGAATATGAATGCGGTGAAAGGGCTTTGTTGACACCTCAAGCTGAACTGCTACACCCAGCAAGTCAATTCTGAGCATTTAACACATGGAACATATTTCTACATCTACCTCTTGTATAAATACAAAGTGCATTGCTTGTGTTTGAGAGTCGTCAGAGTTTGCTTTGGAGATTTTGAAAGGTTTCAAGTCTCTCGACACTCTCAGAGCTGCTTTTGCTGAGTCTGCGCGAAACCTGAATTAGAAGCATTTAGTCAGTTCATGTTTAGCTATACAAGCGAAATTCTTGTGCCATTGAGTTCCAAAATGTGACAGACCACAATTCATTATCCTATGCAATTATAAATTATGTTCTCAGCATGGCCACAAAACATTTTAAATAGAATCGTCTTGAGTAAGTAAGATAAACTTGATATGTTAATAGTAAGCAGTGAAAATTATTTTCATGATTTGTCATCACAACTTTTTATTTTTTTTCAAATCAACTTAGATAATGAATGATGACATAACTGATAACATAATATCTTGAATTTCTATTTATTAAACCAATCTCCATTGTATTAACTAATTTTTATTTCAATGAATTTTTAACAGTGTACCTGGCATAGACTTTTGGGGGTACCTCTGTTGCCAAATAATTTCTACGCATTAGAAATCTACCAGTGCAGCAAGACAAAATACCATTATATTCAACATAGAATATATGAAAATATCTTAATTTCGTATTCTTTTTAGATATATTGACAAACCAAAGACTAATAAAAACTCATTAAGAAAATTTCCTCAGACTAGTTTTACTATGGAAGCTTGTTTCTGCCACAGAATAATAATAAAAAAAAAATACTAAAAAGGTAATTGTGACTGTTTTTCTCAGAATTGTATGATATAAACTTACAATTGGGAATTCTAAAGTCAGAATTGCAAGTTATAAAGTCAGAATTGAGAGATGAATTGCGAGTTTAAATCACAATTTGGAGAATTTTTTTTTTTATTGTATATTTTTATTATTAATAGACAAGCATTTGCACCCTATTCTGTAGAAACATTATAAATAGATAGCTACTTTACATTTTCAATTTTCAGCATTTATCTTTGCTATTTTCGTTTTCGTAGTTCGCTGCTTCACTACCATAGTACGATGCATCGTTGGAGAAATCAACTAGCTAGTCACGACTGTTTCCCGAAACCCATAGTCGCAAAATATCGTTCAGCCACATTGGTTTCGCACGTGGTGGAGACTGGAGTAATAACTACTTTTAATGAAACTGTTTGAGATCCAATTAACGCTAGATTTTCTTTATATATAAATTACAGACATGTCATCTGAGGACTATTTCTAATTGTTCTCAGTTATTTTGCTTTATTACCAGATTCCATATTTGGCTCGTTCTTGCATAGTAGAGCACGTTCGCACATGCGCACTCTTCAAAATCGGTACTTTAAATCTTTTAAAAAACTAAAAGACGTAAATTACATTTGTATGCATTCTAATTAAAAGACACCGGTTGTACTGAATATCAGTTTGCTTATTTTGCTCAAGATAAGGATTTATTACTTCCAAATGAGATGCAATATAGAAACTATACCTCTAAACACAGGTCGAGAGCTGTCATTCAAACCACACAACTTTGCGATGCTGTTTGCGAATGTTCGTTGGAACGATTGTTTCTGGAAACACCCACTCGCGAACTTGCGACTATAGTTGGCTAACGACGCTTTCGGGAAACGCACCCCAGATCTGTTGGTAGGAGGCTGGCTGGACGGATCAAAGAACAGTAAAAGATTTTGAACGCCTCCAGCACTGACAAAGCAAACGTGTGTGTGTATATGTATATGTATATATATATATATATATATATATATATATGTGTGTGTGTGTGTGTATCGGTTTCTGCTTTTGTTTATCCTAAAAAGCTTGCGGTGTCATTCATAGTATTTTTTAAAAGTTGCCTTCATCTTCTCACATAAGATACGCTTGAGCAAAAGACATTCAATTTACAGCTTCCTGTTAATGAATCCAAGCAGTCACTCGCTGGACAAGCTGAAGACTCTATAAAAGTTTGAGGTGCTCTCTGGTTGGCTAATGGTGTTCGTCGAGGGCTGTTCATTCCCTGCTTTCTTGGCTTCACACCATCTTGTCAATTAAGCTGAGGATTGTCTCCCGCTTTCAAACAAAATCAAAAGGCCTGAAAGCCAAGTGGTTTGTTAGCTGAATGTCGAAGCGATACTATTCTGCACCCCTCAGATGGTCAAGGAATCTGACATAAAGCGTGCATGGAGCCCGTGTAAGCGTTAGAGCCTCCCGTTCTGGCTCGCTCTCCGCACCCTCACACCGCACCAAATGAATGGACGGCTCTGATGTGATCTGTGCTGTTAGCTGGGAAATGAGGATGCAGAATGGCCATTATAAGAGTGAAGAACTGTAGAAAGAAGAAATGGAGAAGAGAGAGATGAAGCTAGTGTGCTTGCACTGGAAGATGAATGTATTATGAATAATGCCTCTATTTTTCCATCCAATTCCCAATTCCATCTCTCAGCCCATTGTCGCGGTCGCCCCATTACTGCTTCAGTTTTCATCCCCAAATTTGATATTGGAGAATTGATCTCATATTTATTTAAAATAAGATTATGTCTTTATTAAAACAGATTTCTTTTCTCCCCAGTATGATCCAATGAGATGAAGGGAAATTATTGAGAACACACCCATCTATCATGCCATCTCAAGTTCAATGTATTCTTTTACAACTTCGTTTGAGGAATAAATGAACACTTGTAACCTATAAAGCATTAGTTGGGACGTTTTCTTTCCTTGTTTGTGAAGAGGAGGTCAGCATACCATACAAATTAATGTTTTAAAGCTGTGTTATGACAGATGCCACATGCAGGGTTGTTATGCTTTATTATACTAAAACCCCTAAACAAATATTTTCATTACTTAAAATAAACATTAACTAAAATTAAAAAACTTCTTTTTACTTTTCATGTTTATTTATTAATTAAATTCATGAAAACTATTATTATTAAATGTGAGGTGGTATGTTCCCTCTCAATTTGAATTGGCAAACTGTGTGCATCTTTTCAGATGATTATAATAATAACAACCCATCTGCTGAAATGCCTGGTCCAGATGGATGATATGAAGTGCTACAAGATGGCTGATAGCACTGTAGCCATTTATCTCACTCTCATTTTAATTCTTGCTTATGTTTCATTCCTCCGTTTTTCTTTTCCCTGCTACTTTGCATGATGAAGAAATCCCAGTGTGGCATAATGTAAGACATAATCACTTTATCTGGAGCTGGTTTCAGACAAGAACATGTCCACTTTCCTCTGCCATTTCAACAAGGACAGCTGGCACAGCTCCAAAAGATAATTTTACCCCAGAGAATAGAGGATGGAGCGAGCGAGAGAGAGAATGCATGTATGCATGCCCTGCCAATCAGTTCAGCTTCTCTTTTACATGCCGTAAAGAGCAGCACATCAACACAGATTCCTAAGCCAGCCATCTCTGCTCCTAATGGACATGTTTGTGAGGAAATGAATAGCTCTTCTTTTCCATTAAGTGTATTGGAGGAATTAGTAGTTTGAGCGTAGCCACTGCAAACCATGTTATATAAAAAGTTCCATCTCTAATGCATTTAACTTTTTTTCTCCCTCTTTCCTCACCATAGATGGGAATAATTTGGAACAGATGAGGCCTAAACTTTGGAGGGAGGCAGATGTCACGCTTTCTGGAATTTACATTTTCTGGAGTCAACAGCCAACCGAAGCTCTCTGGCTTTAGTTCTGTGTAAGTCTGAACAATTATACGATTTTTCTTTGTCCTCCAGATGGTTGATGGGTTTTTCATTTGCCCCTGAACTCTGGCAGCTTTGTTTAATGAATGCACAGATGTTATTGCTCCATTTTGTAACTCACCTCTATGTCTCGATTTCTTCATTTCAGTGATGTCATCACTGTGTGCTAAAAACATAATAGTCATCTCTTTAGTTAAAATGTTCTCTGCCTCAATTTAAAGAATTCCTCATTTATTCGCCCTAGTGTCATAACAAACCTGGGTAATACATTGTTTTAAGGCGATGTTCATATACTCTCAGAAAAAAAAGGTACAAAAGCTGTCACTGGGGCTTTACCTTTTCAAAAGGTACACTTTTGTACCTAAAGGGTGCATATTGGTACTTTAATGGTACATATTAGCACCTAAAATGTACCATTAAGGTACCAATATGCACCCTTTAGGTACAAAAGTGTACCTTTTGAAAAGGTACAGCCCCAGTGACAGCTTTTGTACCTTTTTAATTACAATTAACTAACCCTAAACTGTAACTCAACAGTAAGTACATGTAGTTAATTAATATTAATCAGTTCTTATTTGAGTATTTACAATGTAAAAGTGTCACCTTCAAATAAAGTGTAACCCAAAACTGTTTTACTTTCTGTGAAGCACAAAAGAACAAATGCTTTAAAATATGAAAAAAAAAGTTTCTTAAAAGTGGTGCTGTGTGCTAGTTTGGAACCATATAATATATTTTTAAAAGGCATTATTTTTTGCAGTTTTTACTTTTTTTTATATTTGCACTAGTGTTTTGTCTTCCGTTTTTTTATTTCCACATTATGGTGGTATGAATTTATGGATTTATGAATGAAGTGCTTGTTTAAAATCTTCCCGGTCTGCTAGCATTTGTTATGACATCTGCTTCAAACGATACAATGCTAATGATAACTTTTGTTAATAAGTAAATATACTGTACTTCTGTATAGTATAGTATAATTTATACACTATTAAATGTATTGATATTTTGAATTAGGTATAATATTGATATATTTTTGCATGTGCATTGGCTGGTCTAGGCTAAAAAAAAAGCTTTATAATGCTATTTGGGCATAAGAAACAACACTTATGGGACATTTTATGTCAGATTTTTGTTGCTGAATTGAAATACGTTATTCAATTGTGAGTTCGGAAAGAAGTTTTTGAGATTTCAGGATTTCGCCGTTCAAGTAGATATCTTGGACGCTTGAAATAGCCACCTGGAGGTGTTGCAAATATGGCTGCCGAGTGAACAACCTTCCTTTTGATATATGTTGCCCTGCACTCTAAAAATGCTGGGTTGTTTTAACCCAACTTTGGGTCAAATATGGACAAACCCAAATGTTGGGTTAAAAATCTATCCCAATGGATGGGTTTGTCCATATTTGACCCAAAGTTGGGTTAAAACAACCCAGCAATTTTTAGAGTGTGTACCATAGATTGCTAATATTGGCTGTCCATATAGAAATTCCAATCTTACAGTTTATTAGGCCAGCGAAATAGACGGTGTGAAAGATTCAGAAGCTCTAACTGTACATATGAGGAACAAATCACTGACACAAAAGTTCAGATGCTGTCCTCAATTCCCCACTTGTTTATCAAAAGTTACATTGTTCCCTCCCAGCGCTACAAAAAAAGCTATGCTAATAGTTCTCCTTACAAACTGGGTCACCTTCATCCGTCAGTAAGCGTACCTCTCAGTCACCACTTATAAAGATCAGTACCTCTCCGTACTGAGTTTGTGGGGTGGGACTGTCAGCAACATCTGACAGATGCAGCGTTTCGTCACGCAGCTGCGACACGTCGCGTGCTTCCCTCTGTGTGATCAAAGACACGTGATGAGTTCTGGTGTCAGGCCGCAGCGTCCCGTGGTCCCTACAGTGAGACTGGAGGAGCGCGGGGAGTTTTTGTGCCATCACCACCTGTCAGGCTGCAGCCCGGCTGATGCTTTGGATTGATTCGCTATACAATGTGTTTGGCACTATTGATGTTTTATTAAGCTTGTCGGGAATTTCTTGGAAGCCCTGTTTGAGCTTGGGTCGAGATGCTGAGGAATGTTGGCTCCCATTAGTGACTAAGACCATCGTGAGACTGTCACATCAGATCATCAGCTAAAACAGCTGAGACGTGTCCCACCTCACTGTAGGCAGCAGCAGCCATGGTGTCTGGATAGTCACTATGCCAACTACATCTTTTAAACTAGTTTAATACTGCACTTTACACCGACATGCAAATATAATAAAAAATAAATAAAATCTACACTATGTACAGTAAAAGTTTGGGGTCAGTAAGTTTTTTTTTTATTTTTTACTTTTACTCTGCATTAATTAAATTAATACAGATTAAATTGTTCAAAAGTGACAGTATAGACATTTATAATCTTACAAAACAAGCTTGCTATTTCAAATAAATGCTTTTCCCCACCTTTTTATTCATCAAAAAAATCCTGACCAATTTGTTTTTATTTATTCGAGCACCGAATCAGAAATCCTTTTAATGTTTAAATGATTTCTGAAGGATCATGTGACACTGAGTAATAATGCTGAAAATTCAGCTTTCCTATCACAGGACTAAATTACATTTTAAAATATATTAAAATAGAACCATTTTATCTAAAATGTATAGTAATATTTTTTTTTTAAATAAATGCAGCCTTTATGAGCATAAGAGACTTCCAAAAACATAAAAAAAAACCTATAGCAACTCTACCGACTTTATATCAGAGGAATATTTTTGTAAAATATAAAATTTGGGGGACATTTTTAGTATATTTTTCATATTCATTTGTTGTTTTCGATCCAAAAAGTATTACAAACATCCTCAATATATCATCAGTATGTTTGGAGATAAATTTGTAAGTTTGGTCTGACAAAACCTCTCTTTGTTCACAATGACCTCACCATTAGAAAGTGATATAAAAAATAACGTTTTTACAATTTTGAAAATGCAAAATGCTTTATGTCACTAAGGATTCCTCAATAGTATTTTAATTATCTTTGTCTTTATGTCCCCATTTGGAAAGCTATACAACAAGAATTCCGTATTGTGCGTGTGATTGTGTGTGTGCGTGTGTGTTTTCTGCGACAGTCTTCTGCAGGCAAGCTGAGATGCCTTGGAGGAGGCACCGAGGACCCTTAGAGCAGAGGCAGATGAGAAGGAGGCCAAGCAGTCATGTTTAAAGGTAAAAGTAATCTGTCACCAGCTCTGTCAGCACTGACTTCACTTATAACAACATTAAATGGGGGGGATCTGATCTCTGTCTGATCTCTTAACTGTATCTGTTGCTGATATATTTTTTCATTTCATTTTTTTAAATCCTAAGCTTTATATGTTTGCTTTGAGATATGCCAGCAAACTTGAAAAGCTGCAATATTTTTTTTTCTCACAGTGGTTATCAGGTGAATGTCTCGACATTCAGTAAATATGTTTACATTGCCACACGCATCCTGATGATATCAGTAAATTTTGCCTTTGCATTTTTACACAGTCTTACACCTTCTGCTGTCACATCACGAAGGTATATGATAGTGATTTCACCCCGTTGCTCATGTATAATTGGTTTAACTGATTGTGTTTCATCTCACCCCATGTTACAGCACTCCCCCGGTTCTTGTGTGCATATGCAAAAGAGTTAATGAGCCGCAAGGTCACAGCGCTGCCATCTACGAGGCCATCCGTCATGTCGCCTTCACTGTTCCTCGCCTGCTCTGATTGGCTGGGAGGATTCATGAGGCTTGTATTGCATTACATCACTGTTAATGCACCAAGAGTTAATGAACTTGCTTGCTCTGTCACTCAGGCCATCCACAGTCACTCTTCTAATCAGCAACCACTTCTTAATCAGCTATGAGGTCGTCTGGAGGTGGACGAGTGAGTGCCCAATTCGGACACAGACATTGGTCATTGGAATGCCTTTTTCATCAATGCATGTACGTAAAACACTTCACTCATTCCTTCACTTTCAGGTAACCAGTTATTATATATGACTGTGGTGAGGTTTAGGCATCTCAGATAATACTATAGATAGATAGATAGATAGATAGATAGATAGATAGATAGATAGATAGATAGATAGATAGATAGATGCAGGATTATATGACACTGAAGACTGGAGTATAGATGCTAAAAATTCAGCTTTGTCATCAAAGGAATAAATTATAGAAATATATTGATATAGGAAACTTTTGTAACAGATTTGTAACTACATTTTCATGTGGACTGTCCCTTTAAGTCAATAACGGAATCACAGGCTTTGCAACCCCATCTGTCCATCAAAAAAAAAAGAAAGTCACATTCATAAATAATGAACAGCCGTATAGCTCCGGAGGAAATAAAGACCGATAAAATTTCAAACTAATACTTCCCAGCCTCCGTCGAGCATCATTAATCAACGACAGTTCCACTATTAGTTTCATTAAGAGAATAGAAGATTAAAAGGAGTGATGCGATGAGATAGAAACCCTGCCTCCAGCCGTGACCCACCTAAAGCCTGACCCCTCATTAGGACTCATGAACTGCCCCTGTGCATGCTTAATGACCCACCTGGGTTTGTGTTCATACCCCACTCGTTTGCCTCGCCTCTGATTGGCTTCAGATGCAGCGGCCGGCTGTCAGTCAGTTTAATGATGGAGTTTGACGGCAAGATGAATAGTTCCCTTGTCTATTTTAATAATTGCCAATATGGTATTCATATAAATCTGTCGATCCGATGCGGATAAAAGCGAATATAATAATCTAAATTGAGCCGATAAGGGCAGTTGAAGGAAACGCCTGCCTCTCTTTCAACATTTTCTTTTTCATTACTCGTGGTCCAAATACAGCTTGTATACGTGAGCCGAGATAAGTCACATTATTTGCGTGGGTGTCAGTCTTGGACTCATATATCACTATAATATCATTATGCAATTTTAAAATTCCATAAGAGCACTGGGAAAGGAGGTAGCGTGATGTGAGGTTGTTATCAGATGTCTTGAAGTCTTGTCCTGTTGTCAGACTATATATTCAGTGGTTCATTCATTTTTGATATCTATGCAAATGAAAATTCCTATATTTGAGTACAGCCCTGAATTAGCTGCTAAAATTAGTCTCTAATCGGCACCTTTATTGGAGCAAATGCATTATGGATGAGACCTTCGGGGCGTTCAGATCTGACCGTAGATGTTGTGGTCATCTCTAAGGGGTCTCAGCTGGCTGTTTAAAACAAGTTCAGCTGGCATGCTCTGAAATTACACTTTTGCTACACTGGATGGTTTTTTATTGAGAAATCTTGGAAAACAAAACAATTACAGCACAAATAATAGAATCATGCAAATACGATGTCACCTCAACATATGTAGAAGTCATGCAAACGCCTTGTTGAAAAATGTCCCCCATAAATATGTTTTACAAATTGCTGAATTCTGTAATTTAATAGTGTCTGATTAGAGTGACAGCATGTGTTAGGGAACCGTTCCGACACAGACGGTTGTGTATTGAAGCTCATGTCGACTCCCGCCTTCCCCTAACAGCTGCCTCCACCGGCGCACGCCTCCAACAAATTGTCAACAGTCAGCAAAACGCTGTTAAATCAAGCCACAATTATCTGCTCTTAATTAGCAAACGGAAAACGATTACAAGCGGGGATTACTCAAAGCACAACACCAGACGCTCAGACACCAGAAAGCATCAGCCGCCCCATCCAGTCAAGTTGTCAACAGATCACAGGCTAATTAGCGAAATTACAGGGTCCCTGATTGGGATTTGGAAATTAAGAGGCATGTGGTGAGGTTTAGTGGCTTCGGTCAGGATGAGCTATCATCCCGGATGAGAAGTGTCAAATATAGTGTTTTATATCTTGAATAAACATGGTTTGCGTACTGAATTTTAGCCTTTAATTTTAATGCCTTCTGATATTTTTGTGTTTTAAGTGTAGTGGCTTTTCCTTAAAGGGATAGTTCATCCAAAAATGAAAATTGCGTCATCATTTACTCGCCCTCAAGTTGTTTCAAACCTGTATTAATTTCTTTAAGACATTTTGAAGAACACCAGTAACCAAACATTTTGACTTCTCATTGACTTCCTTAGTATTTGTCTCCAATACATTTAAGATTATTTTAAAGTAATTGTTTATTTTATTAATATATTGAATATGTTAAATTGTACAAGTGCATAAAAAATGTAGCCTATGTCATCTTTATTTGCATAAATACTTAATAAAAACTTTTTGGTTTCAGCAAAGCAGCAAGTACACATTCACTTGTATTGTATCATTTAACATATTCAATAGCTTTTTGTGACCTTTAAAAAAAACATCTACCTTGATAAATTTTCATTTGAGTAAAAAGTGCTAAACAACTATCATATACAGTATTTCAGTCTTGGCAAATATGTAGCAGACCACTATTAATATCTAATATGTATGTGATTACTCCCAAAAGATGCCCCATGTCTGTTTCTAGTTATTTTTTAGCTCCATGAATAATGTACTTTCCTGTTTTGTACAAAGAGAGACTTAAAAAACTATGTGACAAGATACCAGAGGGATCTTTCAGGTTTAACTTTGTTTATTAATGGCTGGCACACAAAGCCAGGAAGACGATGACTAACTAGTTGGCTCTCAAAATGCTTCGCTGTCCTAAAAAACAGCACAGACGTACAGCTGTAATGCATCAGAATTAATGCAAAATCCTTCTCGTTCCAGAATTCCAAAGACAGAAAGCAGAGAAGGTGCAATTAGTGCTTTATTAGCTGAAACTTCACATAGGTTAAAAAAATATATCTGGCAGAAAGGTTGCTGATATTAAACATTTGGCTGGTGAAAGCTTGGAGCAGCATATAGTTCTGGGGCCTTATGTATACAACTTTGCGTAGATTTCATCCTTAAAGTGTCCGTACGCACATAAGGCAGAATTTGCGTACGCACAAAAGTTTTCAGATTTATAAAACCGTTCGTACGCCAGAACCTGCGCAGAATTCACTTCAGCAGGAGATTGTGCGCACGTGAGTCTCCTCCCCGAAATAACCATATATGGAGATTACAACGCCTAGTTTAAATATGCATATCCTCATCTGCATATCATTTGCATATGATTATTCATCCACGTGATACCAAGTTTAACGGTACAAGACGTTAGGAAAATATGAAATGCGGATGTGCCGTCACATTATTACAAACATTTTTTTTAGTAGCCTATATCCTTGCCTTGTTTTTGAATGAATAAATCAAATAGTGTTAAATACATTTCAGAGAAAGTTTTTCTCAATCTTTTCCACTGGCCAAATAGTATTTTTAATTGATTTATATTTTAATGGAAAGAGATAGACATGGTTGTGCATTATTTGCACGAAACAGTTTTCTCAGACAATCTCTAGTTAAAACATTAAAACTCAGCATGCCAGAAGAAAAGTGTTCAAAAGCAATGCATCCACAACAAATAGGTATATTTCTATTTATTGAAAAAAAAAAAAAAAAAAAAAAATATATATATATATATATATATATACTGTATATATTGTAACTTCTCAGTAATGATTGCATGTAGAGTTTAACTCCATTAATGAGAATGGCATATTTAATCTAAATGTTTATATCAGAGGTAAAACATAGTTTAAACCATTTTCTTATTTATTTAAACTGTTATTGTGAATATGGACTGTATTTATGATTTGGACTCATAATGAAGATTTACGGTTTTACTCCATCTGCCGTTAGATTATAGGCTATATTATATGTGCGTCAGTTAGTTTCACCAAACGGCCCAACGTGCGTGCTGGCGCGGTCATTTAAGAAGGGATGGATGTTTGAAGTGATGATAGGTTTGTGAAATTATATTTGTATTATCTTTCTGTAGATGTATAATTTTCTTTAGATTCTCTGTCTAATAGTAAGCAAAAAGACATTTGACTCCAGCTCACCATCGGTGTCGCCAAAACACATACTCTTCTTAAAGAGTGCGTACGCACGGTCAAGAGCATCCTTACGGTGCGCACTTATTTACGGCAAGTTTATTTTTTATAAATCCCTATGTGCGCGTGGAAAAATGCGTACGCATATTTCTATCCCCATTTTGTGCGTACGCAACGTTTATACATGAGGCCCCTGGTCTTCTAATTTTGTCTGAAAATCAAGCACAAGGCTTTTTTTGTCATATTTTTGCCATCTTTTCTTTTAATTTCTTTTCCTTTTTTTTCAGACATGCAATTGGTTTGCAAGGAAATGGGTTCTCATTACTGTGGGAGATGGCGAGGCCTGTGTTATTACAATCTTTATTAAGAAAATCTCTAGTTGATCTTGTTGTTTCGTTCCATGGCCGTGCAAAACATGCTCTTTAATATCAATTGATTAGATGCGGTCTGATGAAAATGACCAGATACAATATATTGAAGAGGACTGTTATGAGTTGTCAAACAGAATCTTGTTCTTTAGAAAAAGACTCTTTGTAATTGGCATGTTGCATCTTGGCTTTCTTCTTTTCCTCCTTCTCGTTCTTCATCACTAATAGGATGTAAAGTTTGTGTGGGGGGATATGGAATTCATTAGAGATGAATATGCAACTCAAGCATGATGGTCCTCTTCCTGTTCATTGCTCTTTACTAAGATAAGATGAAAGACTTGGGTTACTCAGTACAAGGAAATTAAGATTAGAAGTACTTTAATAGGCAATGTAGGCAGAGCTTTACGACGGCGTTCATGAAACACAAAAGTATTTAAAAAGTTGCATGCTAATGCGGCCCTCCTCGGTACATGATCGTTTGAGCATAAAATGGTCTGTTTGGAAGTCTGGAAGAGAAGGTTATGTTATGCTCAGTGTGCTGTAGATGATTAATTAGATGGCCCTCCTTTCAAAAGATTCAGAGACAACAGAAGAGATGTCATGTTTAAAACATTTTAATGGATAGTACATTTTTGGAGACTCAAGCCCCAACATGTTTCAGTGTTATTAGGCCTCTTGTGAAATGGCGCATTCTTAGGCGAGCATAATCGTTATTATTGCTCATGCTAAAGGTTAGAGACTTAAATGAACCCATTTTTTTGTGGACTTAAATGCTATCTCAAATAATGTGGTTTGTTGAGACAATTTGATAGGTTACAAAGTGATCAAATATCCTATTTTCACCTGGTGGACAACAAAACTAAAGAAGCCATATTAGGCCAATGGGAACTTATTGGATTCATAATAGCAAAACTTTGGCAAATTTTTTAGGGGCAAAAAAAGGTACATAGTTCATAAAAAAGTATACATTTGTATGTAAAAACTAGGCTCACACAGAAGTCACTTTCAAACTAAGCAATTTGAACCTGCTGAGAAATCTTCATGGGAAAATCTTTTGTCCTCAGGCAAAATTTTTGCATGTTTTTTGCTATTGGGGTGCCTAGCATTGCGGCAACAGATTTTACACAAGCAAACACTCCTCACATTCTCTTGAAAGAATAATCTTGTTGCGTTTTGATTAAAAGAAACAATTTTCCTCCTATCATGTCTACTTGTCCTAAACAGGGTCTTGTTATCAGAATAATGCTTTTTGTCTAAAAGCCTTAACAGAGCTGTGCTTCTTCCTCAGCGATTTGATGGCCCCGTTGTGTTCATTCTTCTCTCATGTACGGGAGTCAGCATGATAATCTGGTTGCCTGTAACTTCAGTCAAGTTGAAGAGGTTCCATCAAAGCTGAAATCCAATATGGAGGTCGTTAAGTTTGCAGACAGGTATGTTGGAAAAGCCTCGGAGCTCTTTATGATGATGGTGGTAACACTGTTGTGTAGGTTGCTCTGGTGCACATGTAACTAAACCCATTTCCCTTGCGAACAGTTGATCGCAAAGCTGAGCACTTTAGCAATGCCATTTCGCCCTTAATGCCAAACTGCAGTTCAGAAACCTTTAAAGGCAGTAGATGAAACAAATTTTTTCACAAAGAAACTCTCTCGGTCTTCCTGACAAAGCCCACACGACCCAGCGTGAGAGCTGTTCCTGTCTTAACTAGCGGGTGAAGTCACTTGGCCCGCCATGAGTCCACCCTGTTGTCTGATTTCAAATCCATGAAAGACATACACTTGAGAGAGAGAAAAAAAAGAGTTAAAAGCCGTTTCATTTCCTCAGATAAATGGCAAAAGCCCTAAAAGAAAAAAAGGAAGGAATCTTATCAGGAGTAAGTAAAAGTGTGACATTTCCCTTTTAGGTTTCCTTTTTGATAGAGATAAAATGTTTATGTTCACCATATGATGCTGAGATTTTGAAAAAAAAGGAGAAAATATTTCACAATGTTACAATAAAAACGTTAAATTATACTACGCCTTCTTATCTTAACGTAGATTTGACATTTATGCTTATGGATTGCTGATAAAGTGCATTCTAAAATATACTGGGTTGTTTCAACCCAAATTTGGGTCAAATATGGACAAACCCAAATGTTGGGTTAAAAATGTCATTAAAAAATGTACAGTTAAGTGAACGTTAAAGTTACATTTTAACCCAATATGTTGGGTTTGTCCATATTTGACCCAAATTTGGGTTGAAACAACCCAGCATTTTTTAGAGTGTAGAATAAATACTTTTTTTTTTTTTCAAACAATGTGTTTTTTTTTTTTTTTTTTTTTCATAATATTGTAATATTGGTTCATTTCAGTGATCTGAGAATGAGAAATCTGGCTTTTATGTAAACGTTCATAATTATACACTTAAACAAGTTACAAAAGCTGTCACCTTTGTACCTAAAACATGGATATTAGTCATAATACATACAGTAATAGCTATTATTGTTGTTTTAAATAAATGAATGAATCATTCAATTAATAGAAAAAAAATACATCAAGTAAAATGGAGCAAATACAGTAAATGAAGAAAGGAGCAAAATTGGATCCAAGTCCAGGAATAATGTCAATGCAAAAACTGATCTCAGAGCATTATGTATTTAATAAAAATAATACTAATAATACACAGTTTATAAGTTAAATATTAAGTTTCTTTTATTATTATTATTATTATTGTTGTTGTTATTATTACTATATTTATGATTTATTTACTATAATTTAACAACTGAACTAATCTCGGAGCATTAAGTTTATAATAATAATAATAATAATAATAATAATGACAATTGATCAAATTAAATATTAAGCTGTTTATGTGTGTTTGACTTATTTATAATAATATTTATTATTATTTATAAATTATTATTATTTAAATAAATTAATGAATAAAACATTATACAAATTATACAAATAGAATGAAGCAAAAGATCTGAGCTCACTTTTTAGACCAGGAATAGTGTGAATGCAAAGAGAACTGGGTCTATCTATTGGGGGTCTGAGTTTGGTTATTCTTTTAATGAAACCCCCTCATTGGAAATTGATGTAAGGGATCTCCTGAATTTCCCGTTCTCCCCATAAGGGCTTTAAAATCACCCTGATTTTTGTCTGATCCTCTGTCTCAGCATCAGTTGATCAGTTGTCTAATGAGGTTTGTGAGGTAGATCAGGTACAGTAGGACCCTGCATCTCTCACCACAGCAGCCCTGTCCTGAGTCCAGTGTCAGTGACTGATAACTGTGGACAGCTCTCAACTGAACAGGAGGTAATTACAGCAGAGAGAGAGAGAGAGAGAGAGAGAGAGAGAGGAAAAGTGGAAGTGGGAGTCTTGTGAAATATTCTCATTACAGGTCATCGCGGTAATTACCTGACACCTACAGATGGAGTTGCCTCTTAATCATAAGAATGAATCATTACTGATATTGATTTAAACTAAGATGTTTGAAGTAATGACCGCACTAAGTCGGGCCAAAAAAAAAAAAAAGAAGAAGAAAATTCGTAATTTTCAGCAACTTCCCTTAGCCGTCGATCCTGCTCTAAATAATAATGGAATGTCTTACTTCATTCAAGTGTAATGGCAGGAAAATGAGCATGGCAGCTGCGACTAAATTGCCCCTGTCTAATCTGCATAGATTGCAGGGCAAGAATAAAGTCAGACAGGATTTGATTTCTAATTTCTGCACTCTCTATGCATAACAGCCCATAATTCACATCCTTTTATGAATGAAATGAGCTAGATTGAATGCAGTTACGGCCAAAAATATCATGCTGTTGACTGACTATGATCCATCAGTGTTTTTTCCCCCCTGTTTATACTTCAGCGATTAGGCCTAGAATTAAATTAATAGTGTATTTGCTATGACAGCACTGGCATGGGGAGCTTCCTGAGAACCAAAGTTCACACAAATCTATATCTTGTTAACTTGTCATTTTTAATTGAACACAGCCTGTCAAAAAATCTCTATTAATTGAATGTCACCTTGATTTTTTTTTTCTTCTACTCAACGAAGAAATTAGAATTAGCTAGTTTTATTTTATTTTATTTTGCGAGTGGATGGTCTCATACATGTCAGACATTCCCTGTGGTACACCAAGCCAATCTTGTCGTTTGTTCATCGCTTATTTCCACCTTGATGTGGAAAATGATGCCTAACAAGGTTAGTTAATCAGGGGAAAGACCTCTGCCTCTTAATAGACCTGGGTTAATGTTTGAGAATGTCATTAGCTGTTGTATAATTATGTGAAAATGGAAACCCTTGAATGCACAGTTAATTAGATATTCCTTAAGATGGGTCATCAAGTTAATTAATTAACATTCCTTGTGGGAGAAACTGTTGTGTATAATCAGTTTTTTAGCATGTAATAAGAAAAGTATGTGCTGTTCAGACCATGTCCAGACTGAGAGGAATTAGGCAGATGAGACCTGTGTATGATTATACTTTACAAATCTACCGCTGGCCACTCTATTGATTACTCTTAAATAGGATTGTAATCACAACATCCCCAGGATATTTGATTGGATAGATAACCTCTGGAGTGCCGATGAAGTTTGTGATGAGAGGCCATAATTTGATAGGCATAATCACAATATGAGATTAATGCACCTGCAGATTATTGTCTCAGATCTTTGATTGGAAGAGAAACAATCTCTATTGCTCCTCTGTTGTCCTGTATTTATAGCAAATTTATAGCTAGTTTTTTGCCTTCAAATAGTCTGGGACATCCCCATGCTCTCTGCCAGTGTTTGGGGTAACATATTACAAATAAAGCAAGTTACGTAATCAGATTATTTTTTCAACGTTTCACAAGTAAAGGATTACTTTTAAGGGATTACTTTTAAATTTACAAAATATTTTCAGTTACTTTTTCAAATTAGTAATGCAAGTTACTTTGTTCCCTTTTGTTCGGAAACTCCTACGTCTCGTCGGAGGAGTTTCCAATGAATTAGGATCACGCTCGAGAGACCAATTGCTTTCACAGACTGATCTCATGAAGTAGTGTGTGTATGACACGCCAATTCGTATTTCCATTTTTGGCATGCTATCAACATGCATAATCGTTTTTCAGCGTGTTTATGAACGCCGTTGACTTAACGTTATTACTGTATATATAAATATATGACTTACTGTACCCGAACCCCGTCCCTAAACTTAACCGTCACTGGGGTTAATGGCATTTATGACTGTTCCCTTACCATCCTAGGAAAAAAAAGATCGCTCCCTAGATGTAGATGTACATTTTGCTTCGTTTCGCGCGGACATTTGACGGCGTGTACAGACACGCGGAATCACTCGGACGTTAATGACGTAGACATACACGCATATACGTGGATGCACGCGGATAGCTCAAAATGCGTAGCAATAACACGCCACTTGACTCGAAAGTGGTGTGTATGTTTACGCAAAAATCATGTCATGTTGGCTTTCGAGTGAATTAAAATGAGCCAATGAATATTGGCATGCAGGTCTTGCATTTTGCGCCTCACCTGCCAGTGCGGGTATAAAGTAGAAGCGCATTCACATATGCTTTTAGCTTCAGAGCCGACCGGTTGTGTCCTCTGAGTGGATAAGTTTCAAGATTAGTCATTTATCTTCATGCTCAATGAGTCTGCTGTTTTCTCCGAGACCTCTCTTTGTTGGTGTGATGGTGCTTCAGCGATCTTCGCGATCTCGCGGATACCAGCTGCTTCTTCACGCGATCTGCCTTTTTTCAAAGAGCTGTTTTCACAGCTGGTATTCGGATGAGTGCGCACAGTGGGCTTACAGTTTCCCTGCTGTGTTGCCGCGTTTATTCCTGTGTGCTTCATCTTCATTTTATCCATAAAGAGCGGTGGGTTACGACCAATCCTAGACCTGCGAGTTCTGGAATCGGTCCCTACACAGAAGCACATCTTTGAGTGCATCCGTCCTCAGGATTGGTTTGCAGTGATCGACCTGAAGGACGCATACTTTCATGTCTCGATTCTTCCTCGACACAGACCATTGCTTCGGTTTGCGTTCGTATCAGTACAAGGTCCTACCCTTCGGCTTGGCCCTGTCGCCCCGCATCTTCACAAATGTCCCGAGATGGCTGTGGCAGAGCGGCATGTTCCTGGTCAACATTACCCTGTACTGTCGCCAAACCTTCAGTCCTTGGTCGGACCCTGCCTTTCTACGGGCCGGAGTGCCCTTAGCCCAGGTGTCCGGGCATGCTATGGTTTTCATGGATGCCTCTGCCAACGAATGGGGGGCAACGTACAATGGGCATGCAGTCTCAGGTCTGTGGATGGGGCCTCAACTGGATTGGCACATCAATTGCCTAGAGTTGCAAGCAGTACGCTTAGCCTTGTGCCGCCTCAAGGGGCTACTTCTGTACAGGCATGTACTGGTCCGTGCGGCCAGCACTGCGACCGTGGCATACATC